AAAAAGAGAGAAACAATTCATAGAAGACATATAATCATAGATTTACATTACATGTGTGATGTACAGTAAATTGTTCAACAAATGGAAGTCATAATTCATTACAATCATCCCTAGATAATCTATATTGATAAGATATTGATTTGTAATTTGCTGCTAACATCAATTCTGCAGCCTACTGAATATTGGAGCTACAGCCTTTGCAGCGCTGAACAATAGGTCTTTCAGCTGCAGGTAAAGTATGGAAAATCCCCATTCTTTCACCAGGTCAACTCCCATGTGATAGGAATAAAGTTCCAAAGAATATGCACATCTGAAAATACTGAATCTTGAAATTGAGTTAATGCATGTAATAACTTCTTTCCCCAAAGGAACAATTGCTGGACGTTGTAGAAACCCATATTTAAGTAAAGCATTAATTTCACTGCCTCTCCAACAGCATAATCATTTACTCAGGCTTTTCTATAGAAATTAAATAAAAGTCCCTTTAAAAGATATTATTAAGCTTCTTTAAATGTCTTCCCTTAGTAATGGGTTACTGTGAATCATATGGTTATGCATTTAGTGGAGGTTTTCCAATCTTGTCACAAGTGGATCTGGTGATATTTGCATCTAAATGAAGACCTTGGTTAAAGGACAATAATTCTGAGAGGATTTTCTCTGGCTGCTATTTTAAATTCTGCATCTCTTTGTTTTTGTCACAGCTTCAAATCCCATACAAATCCATCAGCATATTGGGCTACCAAGGGTTCCTTCCCAAAACTATTTTCAGATATCTATCTGTAGGTATCGGGGAGAGGGGGCTTAGCAAACTTCAGCAATCCTAGTATTTGACCCTTTAAATTTATGAATTAGCACTTTAACAGTTGAAAGATTAATGAAAGCTTGAGCAGAAGGTTATTATAGCTCATTTATAATTCCACCATCGACCTTTTGCGAATGATATCAAAAATCCATTAAGCCATTAAAGCTACCTATTACAACAGGTTAATTTATATAGCACTATTCACATTCATGAAATTCAGGAACATAAATGGAATACTCCTTTCATGTATTATTTTCTGCATATCAGATTTCTTGTCCTTTAATTCTGTTACACTAACTATATTAAAAAAAATCCCTGAAACAGAATTTCAAATTTAACAGTCTCTATCTACCTTACCAGATTGGCCCTACGTTAGTTTTTTAAGCTAATAAATGGCAATGTTTTTATTACTGAAAATTTGTGTTTACAGCAGCTTCAAACTGGCATATTTAAAAGAAAGGAGGAGGAAATAATGTATCTGAATGAAGGTTTGATTTTGAGGAGTGGAGTTGATGAAGTGATGTGGGGGTGTGAAGGCTTAAATATAATTACAAATGAAAGGGCAAAATTGTATGCCAGAAAGTATGAATGTGTCACTGAGATTGTTGTAAATGCATGTGAAAGTGGGAATTACTATATTGATGATAGTTGCATGTTACGTTCCAATGAATGGCAATGTAACAGCAGCAGTAATAGACTTGGAAGGGACCTTGGAAATCATCTAGTCCAACCCCCTGTCCAGTCTCTTTTTAAAAGGCTTCAGTGTTGGGGCACCCATATTCTAATGGAAGAACAAGAGTTCTCTAAATTCCATTAAATTATAATGGAAGAACAAGGGTTAAAATCTGTGCAACACTCTGAATGAACTGAGTTCAGGAAAAGTAATCATGTTAGATGACATAAATGAGTATATGGGAACACAATGAGGGTACTGAAGAAAATAACTGGATCATTAGGAAAGCCAAGAATGAATAAATAACAGAGATTCTTTTGTAACTATTTTTTTAAGTCTCTTTCTTCCAACTGCATAAGGCAAGAATAAGCCTGTATGTGTATGTGTAAGTATATGATAGATAGAGGTGGCAAAAGAATGAATGTAAATCTAAAAGCATCATTGATTGTTTATAAAATGGAATACTAATATTGAAGTAATTAGTGAAAGATAAAAGGTAGTTAGGTCCTTAGTTGTGGGATAGACCATTATTTGAAAGTATTAAAAATGGACCATGAGGAAATAATGGACATGGAAGAAGGAGGAAGTGAAAGAACTAAGAGTAAACTAGAACAATTGCAGGAAGGTAAAAAAAACAAGTCCTGTGTGAAAAATTATTGCAATTAATCTGTGAATCAAATGAATGGAAAGTAGACTGAAGAAAAGGGAAAGTGGACAATTTTTATAATAGCAATTAAAAAGTTATAAAGTGGCACAGTACTGTGTAAACTAGGAAGGACAAAGAAGGATGTTTGGAGGAATGATGAAGAGAAAGAGGCTATGTAAAAAATGTTGAGAATGATTGTTAAGAAAATAGGGATGAAAGAAAGATGCTGCATTATGTGTATGGAGAGTAAAAGTTAGCTGCAAAGAACATAGTCAAACAAACCCAAACCAATAATTAAAACAGGCAGAAAAAATATGGATCCATTTTTGTGAAAATAAAAGAAAATGTTTCAGAAGTGGGTACCTCCAGCAGTATGAAAGAAATAATAAATGAGCATGATGCAGTGGTTTGGGATGAATCAGAAATGAGGGAATGCTGAAATAATCTGCATGGGAATTCTGAGAACTATGTCTAAGGCACAAGGCACAATTAGAAATGAGAAGACAGATCTAGTTCTGCCTTAGATACAAAACTAGTTGATGACTTTGGGCCAGGAGTGGGATGCTATTGGTTCTGCATGGCTCTATAGAACCGGTAGCTCTGAAGAGCAGCAGACACTGAACTGGTTCTGTGTTTGCTGCTGTTTGGCCCATCCGCCCGCCCGGGCTCTTACCTGTCCTTTTATTTCCTGCTTTTTCAACCTTAGCTGCTTTGTGCGGCACAGCTGAGGTTGAAAAAGCAGGAAAAAAGAGGCTTTTCAAATGCTGTGCACCTGCACACTGCGCTTTTCAGCTCTCTGGATGGCACAGCTTAAGGTTTTTTTACACGCACACGCAGCAAAACGTAGTCACCAAACTGGTAGTAACGCCGGTTGAATCCCACCCCTGCTTTAGGCCAGTCAGTCTCTCTCAGACCTGGGATGGAGACAAGGGCAAACGATTTCAGAAAATCTTATCAAGAAAATCGCAGGGGCTTGTCCAGCTTGGAGTCAAAAGGGAGGTAGGAATGTTAGTGAAATATATGCAAAAATATTAGTGTCCATAAAGAAATCATTGACAAAAAAAAATGTGAATGAAGACTCCATATAGGACAGACAATCGGAAATACACTGTTATTGTTCTCCCCATCCAAAGGGACAGCTAGCATGAGCAAAGGCAAAAACTGCATGGTAATGGCTTATTAAATGTGCCTGGGATCATATTTGGCAGACTTTTGATTGAAAGGATATGACTGATGGCAAAGAACAATCTTTAGGACATGCAGTGTAGCTTTCTGTCAGAAAGGCAATGAGCAAGTCAAACTTTTCCTCTTTGGTGGGTCACTGAGAAGTAGGTGAAGGTGAGAAGGACAGTTTATTGTTCATTTTTTAATTTAATTCAGGCAAATGATAAAGCAAATGGGCTTGAAGTACAGAATGCATGGAATGAATATGAAGTTGAAAGTTGATTGCTAGATGCAATAACAGTTTATCTGATGGAAATAGGGCATTTGGAGAGATAAACCGAATGTTTAACTAAAGGGTTAAATGTTGAATATGGGCTAAGTCAAGTATTATGTTTGATTATTTAATATATAAAGAATGCTTGTGGTGACATTAGAGAGCTGCTTGTTGGAGACATGAATATGCCATTTCTTTTGTAGGCCGAAGATGTCATTTCGTTGGCTGAGAACCTGAACAGCAGATATTAAAGAAATGTATAATCCAACAAAGAGTATGGATCTGAAAAATCAATGTTTCAAAGCACAAGATAATGTGGTTGTGTTTGACAGGGAAAAAGATGAGCAACTGCAAGTTATGTATAAATGGTGAAAATGTATACTTTGGTAGATTATTAAAGATGAGAAAATCAGTGGAAAAATTTGAGGATGCAAAAATGCTGTCAGAAAGATACGAAGTGGAATGTATCTGTTATGAGGAATACATGGCAAAAAAAAGAAAAAGAAAACTGATGGATATAAGAGCAGGTTTCTAACTACTTTATACCATGGAAGTGAGGGTATATGTGGTTAAACATAAGCTGAATGTGGCGGGGAAAGAGTTGTTAAGAACTGTTAGTTGTCATACAAGAGAGACAATCAAGAATCCAACCTGAGTTATTCACCGCGAACAGAGGTTTAGGCTTCTGAGTTTTCAGACTCGTGCTGGAGCCCATCCTGAGGGAACTTCTGGTAAGAGAGAAGTTCCCTGAGGATGGGCTCCAGCACCAGTCCGAATGCCTAGAAGGCTAAACCTTTGGTCCCGTGACTGACCAAGATTGGATCCTGTACCACTATCCTGGGATACCTACATTCGCCTTGATTCGTGAGAATCAAGAACAATGTGCGCCTGTTGAACATTAATGAATGTCGATGAGTACAAAAGGAATCTGTGCAGATGGTTTCGTCATATGGAGAAAGAGAATGAAGAGCAAATTGCAAAATGTATGTGTGAAGAGACAGTGAATGGGTTGAGAAGAAGGGAGACCAAAAATGGCATGGTGGGAGAGAATGAAAGCGAGCCACAAAATGAAAACAAAACAAAACAAAAGACAAAAAAGTTTAAAGGACAAAATTAGTATTTCAAACAGGGTATGGACATGATGAAAGAATGATAGTTTGCAAAAATCAAAAGAAACAGAGAAGTATAGTAATGGCATCTGTGTGAACCGAATTTACCTATTTCCTTTCCTTTTTTTAAAAAACATGTGCCTTTCTTTTTCTTTTTTCTTTTGCTTACTACAGTATTTCTTACTCTTTATTCACAAAATGTCACCTATCATGCTGGAGAATAATGATGGTTGCATTATGCATGCTAAATATATCCTCACTCGTCAATGTTTTTTTTTTAAAAAATTGCAGCTCCTTTACTTATGAATCATTTGCCGTTCCTGCCTCCAAGACTGGATTCTGTTGACATGCAGTCTTCTAGAATTCCAGGCCGAAAAAGAGGAAGACCTCCGCTCCATTCAAGTCCTATGAAAATGACAGTTCATAATCTTTACTCTTCATCTCCTGGTTCTCTACCGGTTGTGAAGATCCCAAAGAAGCGAGGGAGAAAACCTGGATATAAGGTACAATATTTTCTACTTATTTTGTTGTTGTTGTTGTTGTTATTGTTAACTTCTGCTTAGATTCAGTCCTTGTGCAAAGGTTTACCAGAGTACTTTGTTCAGGGTATTATCAAAAGATGTAAAAGCTTCTAGCCGGCTTGCCCAGATCTAGGAAAATTTGTAACAACCTGTCTGTTGTGTTTTATTAAACCTTCCAAAAATGGTTGTATAGTAGAAACTACCTATTCTGCATGAATTACAATTAGTGGCTTAGGAAATGGCATAAAGATATTTCCCTCCACAGGACAATTTGCTGTTGCTGAACAAGCTTTTCGCTTCTATGACCCCCAGGCCATTTGACTTTCTTTGGAGCTGAGCTAGTTTACTTACCACTTAGTTGTGTAGGGAAAGAGGAATTGGTTTTCAGCTGCAATAAAGAGAGGGGAGGGTCTCTGGAATTTGGATGCAAGCTGCTTCCCCATCAAGGGAATTCATGCCTCAACTTTCTTCCTCAGCTCTGAGGTTCAGCTGCCCTAGCAAATTGTGTTGTGAAATGTTGGTTTGACAGCTCTGCATATGATTCAGGTGAAATGAGCAGAGGTGAAATTGACAACATACTGCTCTTCTCTCTCTCTCTCTTTTGCAAGTATCAGGTTAGGTATTAAGCAGCAAATTGCTTTGGTCTTCCTTCCTTCTTTGGGCAAAGTAAGGCATGAGGAAATTAGTTGTTATGAACTGTGGAACAGCTTGGGCAGTGCGGTGTCCTTGGCAGGTCATTTGTAAAGGTTTTGAGGGGTAGAGGAGTGCACAAGCGCCATTAATATCTCTGCATAGCCATTGTTGAGACTAGTCATGGGCAGTTCTCTAGAGCTTCAAACAAATGGTGTTGTTTTTTTCAGCTCCATTTGCCATGAATTCATTTTGAGACTTTCCTACCACCAAACATGTCTTTGTTTTCTCTATAGTATCTCAGATTGCTGAAGAAGCAAAACAGTACTTTAAACCAAATAAGAGTTCCTACATTTAACAATAAAAATGCTATGGTTACAACTATCTAATAAAGCTCTATTTTCTGATCAGATAGGAGAAATTACTTATTTTGAACTGTGGACCAAAAAATGTGTGTGTGTGTGTGTGTGGGAAATGTGACATTAATTCTGTCTTTTTCATCTGGTTTTTATTGTACCTTATTCTGAACTTCCAACTATTACCAGATGTAAAGATGATCAGAAAAAAACAAAACAAAACATGTATGGATATTTATTTAGAGAATCAGTTTATGTGATCACCCATGATATTGCACAGCAGATGATTTAATAACAGAACATTGATTTTAATGGTAAATCCAGACTTTGAAAACAATGAGTTACTTCTAAACTAATTTCTCATCCAGATGCCATTGTTCCATTGTAGGAAGACTTTTTAATATGTGGAGTCCTTGGTACTCTGTCAGCTGGGTTGCTTGCTTGCAGACATTTCATTACCTGATTAGGTAGCATCATCAGTGCAAGTGAAAGTGGAGTTTGATACCTGTTTATATATAATAGTTTGCTCTGCCAGCGTAGGTGGGAATGTGTGGTTTTCCTTGGTAGCTCCTTGATTAGAATATCTCATTAGTTTTGTCTGTTTGATTGTCTCCTTGGTAGCTTTTTTATTAGAATATTGCTTTCTGCTTGATTGTTTGTTTAGTATTAATCTCTGTTTAGCTGTGATAACCACCACCCCTACTACACTGGCAGGGCAAGCCATTGTGTATAAGCAGGGAGCAAACCCCACATTCACTATATAACTGATAATATTAGTCAGACAATGAAATATCTAAAGGAAACCACCAAGATCAGAAAGCACCAAGAATTCCTCAGTTCAACCCTGAGCTACATATATTCTCTTCTATACATACTTTTTGATATATGAAGATGTCTAAGGCTGAACAGTAGAACTTGTGTTTTATAGGGAACAACCCTCAGTATTGTGGAGGCTGTAAGTTATTTTAGCACCTAAATCTTACTAAGTAAATTTTTACAAAGCTCTTTATTTTATATGGATTTTTTAAAAATGTAATTATCTGATTCAACTTTTCTGCCTTATATTATTATTATTGTACCTATAAAAGACTATATTATTTTGAAATTGGTTTGAATTACTACATAAAATCTGGTGATAGTCTAATTTGGCTGTAGATAAATTGGATATTGATGGTGCTGTTGCAAAATTCTTGGCTTCGTTGAGATAGAATCCATCCTCTAATCTGAAAGAGTACAATTTATGGCCACGATGGAGCCCAACATTTCTGTTGCTATGTAAGACATTTGTTAAGGGAGTTTCATCCCATTTTATGACCTTTGTTGCCATAGTTGTTAAGTGATTCACTGCAGTTGTTAAGTTAGTAACACAGTTGTTAAGTGAATCTGGCTTCCCCATTGACTTTGCTTGTCAGAAAGTCTCAAAAAGTGATCACATGACTGTGGGACGCTGCAACCGTCATAAATATGAGTCAGTTGCTAAGTGTCTGAATTTTTATCATATGACCATGGGGATGTGGAAAATGGTTTTGTGAAAGTCACTTCTTTCAGTGACTTTGTAACTTTGAATGATCACTAAAGGAACTGTTGCAAGTTGAGGACTACCTGTACTTTTCTGTTATGATATCTAACAACTCTTGACAGAAGAGGTTTTGACAGAGATTGTGTGCATCTATAAGATATAAAAATGCTTGATTGTGGTCCTCCTGCAAGGGAAATATACAGCTATAAAAAAAACCCTTACATTTAGAATATGTGCATTACTGTTTACTTTGATTTCCTCCTATGTTGTTGGTAAAATTTTGTGTTAATCGCTTATTTTTTTTAAAAAAACTGTATATTATGAGTGTTTTATTGCATCAAATATTACACAGTTTTCAATTTATTGTTCAGTGGGTTTATTATAGATCCATTGTTAATCACCAAGTATCTTTCTGATTACAATGTGCATAAATTAAAACAAACAAGTAAGTAGGCGAGAGTTTTATTGTTGTGAGTAAATGATGATCCAAAATGTTGCCAGTTGTTCCAGAAGAACACTGATATTGAATAAAGTAACTTCAAGGATGACTTATCATGTATTTAGTCTGTCTGTTTTTCTGTCAGTGTCTCTATCTATATCTATCTATCTATCTATCTATCTATCTATCTATCTATCTATCTATCTATCTA